GTGGTCTGAACCCCTGGGGTGTTTTTTCCACGCCTGAAATGATGGAAGGGATGCTATTGTCTTTGAACTCTCGGAGTTGATGAGTTGCTTCATCCACTGTTGGTGTTGCTGCCTCACTCCAGGTTATTGCTGTCAGTGAGTGGACATATGATGATGGCTCACTCCGTGTATGTTTCCGCCACATGGGTTGTGTGCCTTCAACTTCATCTGGATCTACGGATGCATTGCTGTCATCTAGCTTGTGATAGATCATTTCTAGAACTGCTGATTCCCTCAGGGACTTTGTAGATAGCTTGACTTGTAGACGGATACTTTTTGGTCAACATCAGCTGTGCAGCCAAACAGCTGGCTGCTTGCCTTAATCTCTGAACCTTTAGAAAGTGCTCCATAATTATTTTCATACCACACTCTGCAAATAGCCCTGCTTAAAGAAATTGTGCATGTTGCTAGAAAAACAAATGCGGATTCAGCAAAGCTCCTCTAAAAAACGCTTTTGTACCTTCAGCTTAATAATGAGCAATGGCCTCGTTGCTCTGCTGATTTGAATCCTGAAGACTTTTTATTGTCTATCTGGCAACATACTGGGGTATGCATTTTTTTTCCCAAGCTATTTTCCTCTGAAACAAGCATGTGTGGGTTTCTATATACAGACTTTTGTCAGCTTTTGAGGGTGGGATATGGTGCAGTACTGTGACATTCGTTGTTTATTGACCTTAACATGTAGTGAGAGGGGATTGATGTATTAATGTCACTATCCTCCTGACAAAAGGAAAATTGGGAAATGAGGTTCCTTAGGAAATTAGATTTATTAAGGGTTATTCATAGGCAGGGTTGCAAACCTAGAACTTGAAACCAGAACAAGGTGTGGGAGGCTTGTGGGTGCTGGAAAATGTGGAGAAGGGATAGAGACTGTTCCCTCCCACAGACCCCACATGTGGTGCCTGCTTACATGGAAGGCAATTCCTGGCTCTCCCAAAGCCTCGTATTTTGTTGCTTATCTCTTATTAAGTTTTAGAGTGAAGACATGAAACAAGTGAAGCCAAGCCATGAAATGACTGGCAGTTGGCACTAGGATGGGAGAGTGGACTCTCCTGCACCAGCAAAAGGTGAAAGCTTCCTGGTGCAGAATACAGCCCTGGGGAAAAATATTATAACCTAATCAAAATGACTGGTGGCTTTAAAAACCAGAGAAAGCCCAGAGATGGCACTGAACTCTCCCTTTCTGGGGATAATGTATTGCAAGCTAATTTGATGGAGACCCCGAGAGGATGAAATGACCCTCGACAGTGTGGATCTTGAGAAGAGTGACAGGTAGAGTGTGAGACTGAGGCCTGGCTGGAGCTGGGAAATCTGGTGTGGTAAGCACCATATGGTCCTCCTAGCGCATGTGCGAGACCTAATTTCCACACCCAACAGCTCACAAAAGAAATAGCACTGGTGCTATCACCAGTTGTCTTAATCTTGCTTCAGACCGGGTGTCCCCACCGTCTGGTCCTCCCTGCTGCAGCCCAAATGACCCATGGGTCATAGGCTTTGTGCTCTGCCCCAGGCAAGAAGGGATGCATTTTCAGCTATTTACTTTTTATTGGGGTGCGTGCCTATACCTGTAAGTATATCTGGCTTACATTTAATGTCCAGTCTGGCAGAATGAGAGATCATTCCTTACTATTTCCCCATTAGTAGATGGAAGTAAGATTTAAACAAAAGATGTCCCAAGCAAAGACAAGTCCCTGCTGTCCTCTTTCAGTCTCTCAAGGTTGGTATGGGTCTGCAGCATCACTCCCATTCCTGAAGTCAGTGTCTCCTTGCAATGCCCATTTCTCCATTCCCACAGGGACAATTTGAGCCTGAGCCATGTGCTGGCAATGCTGCTAGCATTGATCTGCGGCTTTCAAGCACAGTGTGGGCTGCAGTCTATGCCTGTGGAGCAAAAGGCTGAATTTAGTTGCCCTGGTACTTGGAGGACACAGGAAACTATTTGCCAAAATACAGATGCCGGCAGGTTAGAAGCCTAACATGTATCTTTTGGTAGAGCTCTGAAAAAAAAAAACCTTTCCAAGGCAAGAGTGAGAGGTAGGTACCTCTTGATGCTTTTCCTACTGATCTGTAACATCCAACAGATGCAATTCTTGCATTTGCCATTAATCAGGGAAGCTTCCCACCTTCTGTAGCCAAATGAAAAAACAGGGTATGTGCTTCCTAGAGACAGAAAAGAAATCACTGCTTGTAGCTGGACAAGATGCTAATCCTGAAATGAGGACTTCAGCTTTTAAACTTGTTCTATCAGGATTTGTGCCAATTAAACTGATTTCCCTGAAGAGGGAAGAGCACTTAATCAATAATATCCTGTGAGGGACTGGCATTGCTGCTTCCCTTATGGCACTGGTGAACTCTCTCCATGGAAAGGAAAGGGCAGGAGGCTTATGTCCTTAGGGAGCACACGGGGTGTCCCTCTGAAACACCTCGGGTCTCTCCAGACTATATTTCATTCATTGCTGAGATTTGTAACTGTACCTGTACAGTGGTTTTTGATTCATGCATGTCCAGAACAGTCATCCAGGTGTGAGAACAGTGAATATAATTTAGTATCTTGATATATAGCTTCTTGTGGTACCTCCAGTAGTTGCAGACATACCTCTGCTTGTTTGAACGTACATTTCAGACTGTGTTTTACTATGTGGTATCAAAAGAAGTGTGGATCTTTCATGTCATTTGCAGAGCAAGGTTTTGAAACTTGAGCAGTGGGAAAGAGTTAGCTCTTGCTTTTGAGCTAACTGGGATCATGTATAAAGAGAGCAACTGTGAAAGCCAGACACTTTGCCATATTGAAGTGCAAATAGATATCTGGAAGACTTAATAATGGCTAGAAGAGGAACTGACTATAAAAATCGGGTTGCTGTCATGGTCCTGGAATGATTTCCAGCCAAAGAGGGAGCTGAGGTGGGATGGTTGAGCACTGAAGAGCACCAAGCCAAAACACAGCTGGAATGGTAGAAAGGGAATGGAAAATGCAGCATGAGGGATCTCTGGTCACTGCTGCAAGCTAGAGAGTAGTGAGGAAACCACCCCAGGCTTTTAGAGAGCCCAACCTACCAGTGGTGAAGGACTTAGAAAACCAAAAGCAAATATTGTTATCTTTGACAGGTTATGAATACTGAAGTTCAAGTGCTACTACAAATCTATAATGCTATAATGAAAGGTGATTACTACACGGTGAGTGAATTAGGTTTCCAGTTCTCCATGGCAATTAATGGGGATTTGGCATATTTTCCCAAAATATACTATTAGTAAAATTAAGGGAAAAAAAGTCTCCACCTCTCCCCAGCTGACTTCTCAGTTATGCCTTTATTGAATATTTCATTATTTTCTTGATCTCTGGAGGTTTTTGAGCTCCTTCAGTACATCCACAGCTTCAAGTCTCTCCATGAAAGAAACCTGCTAAAGAAAACAGCACGAGAGTTACAGTAAACCACAAGCAATGAAAATTCCCACGGATGAAAACTTTAGTAGTTCTTGTGTCAGCACAAATTAGAGCTGAGATCAGATACCGGCGCTGCAATCCCTGCAGGAGGGAGCACAGTTACCCTGCTCCTCTTGGGAACCGAGCTAATCTCTTCCTCAGCTGTGAGCGCTGAAGGCTCGCACTGACCTGGCTCTGTACCACCGGCACCGGTGGAGACGTTCTGGCTGGAGGTCAGAGGCATATTGTGTGTCCCTGCCCACTCTTGTCTTCTGGAGACTGGGGAAAACTTTGTCCCTGTGCCTCTGTGAAGGGCTCAGCCTCCCATAGCACCAGGCCACCAGCAGGCAGCTGCTGGAATTGCTGAGAAGCGTTTTGTGTTTCCTAGAGGTTATTATTTAAATAAATAAAAGCTTGCTTGGTAATATTTTGTAAGGAAAAGTTATCTGGTTTTATCCATTCCCCCCCCCCCCCCACCATTTTTTCTCTCCTAGGGCAGAAAAAGGGCACGAAACACAACATTTTTTCGTAAAGAAAAATACAATGTGTTTTCAATTCTGACCTCAAAGCTGGTTTCGGTGGGGTTAAAATTTATTTTATAAAAACACATCTGGACCCTGTCCTATTGCTACTACAGACTTCCACTCTTGCAAATCCGTGACTTTGACACAAAATCCCCTGCCTCAAATTCCAGTTAAACCTTCACATCACTCCCAGTGCATCTTGTTTACTCTAAGACATTCTGGTACTATTGATTTTTTTTAAACGGAGCTTCAGTCTGAGCAATGCCTTATTAAACTTTTGCAGATGGCTGGTTCCTTACAGGGCATAAAAGCTTCAGGTATTTTTTAGGCAGATACTGTAGTCTCTGACCTACTTAGACTCCAAATCCTATTTGAGCACTGGTGTCCTGCTGGTGGCACAGCTGGTTGTCAGGGTGGCAGTTCACTTGAACATCTGAGTGTTTGCAGAGCTGCAGACTGAATCCAGTTGCTGGATGTGTGCTGTTACACAGGGTGATGAGTTTGTGCCCTCTGCACTTTGCTGGGGCAGGACCTGGCTTCATTGCAAAATCCTCATGGTGATGCTTGAATGCCATGAGGATCTGGAAATGCTGTCAACAAGCTAGGGCAGCACAAGTGTGGATGAACACAGGGAGCTGCTGCTCCAGCCAGGCTGTGCCACCCGGGATGTGTTGTCATTATTAAGGCTATGTTAGGGGGGAAAGGCCAAAACAACAGTAAGGCAGAAATCGTTCTGCTGTCAAGCAAACGCTACAGAAACAAGAGGAGGGAGTGCTCTGAGATCAGTCTAGCTAAGCTGCGCTCTGCTGACACAGACCCCAGGGAGGGCGGGAGCGGCACGAAGGACAGGATGCAATGTGGTGCCATCCCCATCGCTGCTGCTGCTGCTACCAAGACCTTACCGGCTCCTCCGCAAGCGACGCAGGAGCCGGGTTATTTTCATCTTGTTTTTCCCTTTCCTTTTCCTTCCTGCCCCGGAATAAAACAATCATTTAACCCCAGACTAATGCCGGTTTAAGAAGCGGCGGGCGCGGTGCGGGGCGGTGCGGGGTGTGCGGGGCTCCGCCCGGCTGCTCCGCCCGGCGTGCTCGGGGGCGGCTCCGCTCCGCTCGGCTCCGCTCGGCTCCGCGGGGCTGCGGCGCCATGGAGGCGGTGGACCAGGTGCGCGGAGCCCCGCGGGCGGGATGCGGGGGGGAATCGGCCGGGATGGAGCGGGGGGTGCGCGGAGCGGGCAGCGGGCGCGGTGCTGACTCGTTGTCTCTGCCCGCAGCTCGCCTCCGCGGGCACTTTCCGCGTGGTGAAGGAGCCGCTGGCCTTCCTCAGGGTGCTCGAGTGGGTGAGTCCTGAAGGGGGGGAGTCGGGCAGCGATTCGGCCGCAGGTGGGTTTGGGGGGGGGGGTACCCCCGAAGTGCGCCCCGCGGAACAGGTGGGAAAAGGTCGGGATTGGGGCTGGGGGCTTGGTTTGAGGGCTCACATCCTCCAGTGATGTAGCCCGGTGGGTTGGGTGCCGTGCTTGTGTGTGTCCGTGTCCGTCCCCCCGTCCCGTCCCCCCCCCCCTTTCCATTCTTGCGCTGGATATAAACCATTTATTCTCTTTTAAACGGGAAGGTTGAGGGGGGGGGGATAATCCTCATTATGCATTTAGCAAACTTGTCTCTGGGCCGAGCCGCGAAAGAGGCAGATAATTGGTTTGCGGAGCAATGTCACTGTTTGTTGCTCTGATGCTCATTCGTAGTGAAGTCTGCAGGTCAAATGACATTCATCGCCAGTAGGTCTGCGGGAGGAAAGAGCCTCTCTGAACGGAAAGTTCAGAACATGTCATGGAGGATTAATCACATTCCCTAACGCCGTCTGGCTGGGGAATTATGTAAGCCATATATTTTGGGGGTTGAGTCCCCGTGTGGGTGCGTTTATTCACGTTCCACCCGCTGTGAGAGGCTGGTTTGGTGTGCTGGGGGTAACAGCTAACACCAGACCCCATCTCTGCCCATGTTCAGCAGCTCCTCTTCACTGCTGGGCACGTCGAAGCACCAGGTCTGGTGGAGCTGGGTGATGAGGATGTGGTGGTGCCACAGGCTTGGGATGAGGTAGCCCCACAGAGGGTGACCTGCATGCAGAGCATGGATAAGGTACCTTGTGTTCCTTACCCAGAGCTCCCCCCAATCCCACCTGGTGCTGCTACCGCCGTCTCAAAGAGCAGTCAGGACATCCAGGGGTTGAGCCTGGTTGAGCCTTAGACACTGGTCTAAGGGTGCTTCAGCTGCTCTGCATCACTTGCTGTGGAGCAAAGCTATTTCTATGGCAAATAGGTGCTGGGAGAATGGTCTTTTGACTATCTGCCCTGTGTCTAATGGGGGGAGAATGGTCTTTTGACTATCTGCCCTGTGTCTAATGGTGGTTGGGAAGCGAGCTCCTCCAGCAAGGGCTCTGGGGGAGGGGGTGCAGGCTGTGCCCTTGAGGAAACTGTTCCCGGTGGAGTTTTACACCCTCAGGACAGCAAGTGTGAACTCCTCTCTTGACAGTTTCCTACATCTCTAACTTCTTCCAGTGACCGAATATAAAAGCTGCTGTTGTCATGGTTGAAAGCCACACGTAGAACTCTTCTAATTGCTCTATCCGCACGTTGCCTGTCTGTGTACATATGAATGCATATGCGGCTGTAGGTAAATAGCTCTGCTGCCATGGCTGGGATGTATCAGTTCTTGGCCATAAGGGAATGCAAGGGAAGGGTGCAAAGTGTGTTAACATTTAAGATGGTCTGAGAAATCGCTTTTTCCCCTTTTGACATCTATGTGTAAGTAGAATTAAGCATGTTATGATGTGTGGGAGACTTGGCATTTTGTTGTTTGTGTTTGATTTTATTATATTCTTGAAAGGCTTTTTGGATCACCCATATACCAGCTCCATTCACTTCGTCTTGTTGCTTCTATCTTCATTCTCTTACCATGCCTACCAACTGCTACCCACCTCTTTACCATCTCATTTCAGCTAAGTGCCCATCTCTCCCTCAAGCTCCTTTTATCCCCCTAATTATCATTTTAAACTTTAAAAGACCACATGCTCCAGCTGATTCTGCATCCACTTCCACATTCCCCCGGCAGCCTCGCAGCCACGGTATGCTTGATCAGTACAGTCAGATTACACTTTCTAACACCTCCCACTTGAGTCCTAGATTGCATCTGCAAAGAAATAAAGTTCATAGCCCAGCTGGTGATGCCGTGATTCAGGGTATTGGGTGGCTCTCATGCTTGGAGGGAGGCTTGTGGTGCTGCAGCACAGACAGCAGAGATATGGGGGTTCCTCAGAGAGGTTGGTGGTGTGGAGATGGTGTACACCAAACGTGTCCTCAGCTGGTCCAGCCCTGAATCTGCACTCTTATCTGTTGGGCAATTTGTATAGGTCCATGGTGGCTTAGGATCAGCATGTCTTTATTCGTAAACCTCTTGTATTATGGTGCTGATGGAATCTGTGTATTAATGAGTGCAAATGTTTGCAAATCTGAAGTAAACTGAAGTGGCAGCAGGTTTCTCAGGTGGGAAAATGTATCCACTGCAGAATTAATCCATAGATGTGCAAATTCCAGTTTCCTGAAGTCTGGCTCAGGAGTGGATCATTGTCTTAAGGAGCAAGGACTTTATCTGACCTTTTTCAATCTTCTGCTTTGACTGTCGCCTAACACCCTGAGAGAAGATGCTGAGATAAAACTGATTCTTCTCAATATTCACAGCGCTGTGACACATTTTCATTGGTATTTCCTATGTACTTTGCACTCTTTATTTTCAACCAAGAAATTGCATTTAGAAGCCATTAAGAGACAACATTGGCTCAGGCCCAGGAAAGGTTAAAAAAAAAAAAAAAAAAAGGAGAAAAGGAGAAAAGAAAAAGTATCTGGTAGCAATTAAGCAAGAGTTGCAATTTTTGAACTCTACCTTGGTAATAGACTGTGTACTTGGAATATGTGGATCACAGATCTGGGCTTGGAAAACTGCACACACGGCTGTGCAAGATAGACCCTGATATTTTTCCAGCTTAGAGTCAGCTCTTGCTTCATGACATGTAGCAGGGGCAGGAAAAAGCTGTTTACAAGCTGTATTTGTTCTTGCTTTTCTTTATTGCCTTGGCTGTTACTCCACAGATCTTTGCATGAGAAGATGGTGTCCTTCTGAAGCTTATTTCTCATGGTAATCTGTTGTGGCACTACGACCAGTTGCAATGACACAAACACTATTACAACTTCAGTTGAAAAGAGGCTCTCCTACACACGCACCTGACAATAACGAACAAGGAAAGATGACAAAGAAGAAATGTGTTTGTTTCCCTGGGTTAATTTCTGTGAATCTCTGGATGTATTTAGATGGCTTTTATTAGGGTTCACAAACAGTGAGCAAGACAAGCAGGTTTCTGAGCTCATTGCCTCTTTGGAGCCCTACAAGAGAGATTACGCCAAAAAAGCAGGGCTCTGCCCATTCCAGTGATGCATGAGCTACCTCATGTATCCTTTTATCTAACTATGTGTCTGAAAATGGCAACTTTGTGTCACTAGGCTGAGGTTTGTAATTACTTCTGCTACTTTCCTGCAGTGCTTTGCCACAAACCACTTCCCTCCTGCAAAGCAAACTGTCCTATTTCAAGGTAAAACAATGGGAGCTGCAGTGATGTCCAGCACATCTTTCCATTGTAACTAGCACAGATGCAGGAACTCCACCAGTTTGCAAGCTGGGAGGTGCTATGATTGCCTTCCTGACTATCTGCTGGTGGTTGTTTCACAGTTGCTCCCTGCTCTGCCAGCTTGCAGCCCTGTCTAGGCACAACAGAATGGGTGTTTTGGGCACAAAGACCATAAAAGTAGCTCTATCTTAAGCCAGTGCTGCTTGTATTGGGGCAGAAGTGAGTTGTTTATGTTGTAGGACAAATCCTGTGGAGACTGGGGCTGTTCTTGATAAGACAACTTGGATGTGGACATTAGGATGCTCAGTGAACCCAAATGTGTCTGAAGAGTTGTTTTAAGTCTTGCCTTTGTGCAGAAAAATACATTCCAGGCCTTGTATGACTCCATATAGTCACTGCTGATGAGCATCTTCATGGGATGCACCAAAGACATTCAAAGCAGTGCAGGGGACTTGGGCAGCAACCTGCCACTCATTTTTGGTGGCAAAGTGGAGAAAGGAATTGCAAAGTGATTTGGAAATGTGTGCATACGTGGACCAAGCTAACCTTGCGTTGCTTCCTTGCTTGCATGAAGTGACTATTTGCCTGGTGAGCTAGGAAAAAGGCCAGGCTGCTGCTTCGGTTATATAGATTCTGTATATATGTAAGAGTCAAGCTTGCTTTGATTGTATAGATTTTGAAAGGGTTAGCACCCCTCGCCTTGCAAACAGATGTGTGTTTGGAAGGCAAAGGGAATCAGTCTTGAAAGACTGATGACAAGTCTTGTCTTTTGTCCTAATGCTGATTGCTCATCTGGACATGGAGCACGTTTGTTGGATTATATTTGCATGCATATGAATGGACATAAGTAGCTGCATGCTTTCAAGTGTGTCCTAGAAAAGCTTAAATAACTTGAGATGCTGAAAATAAGGGGGGGGGGGCAAATTAAGAAGGTAATGCTTGCATGAGGCATGTGTGATTAGTAGTTTGCTCTGTATAGTGTATTATGGGCCTGAGATATTCTTATAGTTGCTTGAGACTCTTCATCATATTTGCTTGTGTGTGTCTGGCTTTTGCTTAACCAGAAGGCTGCTGTCTACTCTGACATGGGCAGAGACTTCAGGCGAAGGAGCAGAGTAACCTTGCTAGAGCTTCATGCTCCATACGGATGCAGGGCTTGGAAGAGTTGAGTGTTTGGTCTTCTCTACTCTCACGGTAAAAGAAAAGCCTTGATGAAAAGAATGGTTCTTTCTGCTTGCTGAAGTGGCTTATGCAATGCTGCATTTAGTGTTAGGTCTATTCACCCTGGTGTGTAAGGCACATAAACACATGTAAAAACTGTACTGTTGTATTTTCTTTTTATTTTCTTTCTTTTTTTTTTTTTTTTTATGTCTGCCTTGAGATATAGGTTGTACCTGTTCTTCAGTACCTGGTGCTACTTACTACCGTTGAGATCTTGCATGTGTAGTGTCAGGTCAGTGAAACACATGCCACTTCATCAAAACATGTAAATCCATTTGTATGGTATTTTAATATTAGAAAGATAATTACCATGTAACTAACCCTCCTCTGTAAGCTGCCATTAATTGGATGATTTCTTATAGGCAGCTTAGCATAATGCATGCAAAATACACTGCAGCTCTCTACAGATGAAAACTGCTTCAGTGAAGCAAGAGGATGTGAGCATCC